ACTTCCTGCCAATGGGCAGTTGTTTAACACATACAGCTGTCATTGTTTTTGGTGATCATCCTTCCATATATGGGGGTATAAAAACTTTTTAAAAATATACCTGTCTTGATGTGTTGTCATAAATATTGGTTTGCGATGCATTTTCTTTTTTTTCAAATTGAATAAAACAAAAAACCTTCAGCTTTGAACATAATTATAGAATTTCAACAAACTGAAACAAGAAGACTACATTACATTTTTGTTTTAAAACCCTTAACGTGAAGAGAAATATTCAAAAATCAAGTGCTTCTTTAAATTTGATTTGTTAACCAAAAACTTCCATTGATTGGCTGTAAAATAGGGCATGCACATGCATGTTCGAATCAAACTAGGCTATATATAACTTATATAAGTTAAGACGTAAGGTAAACTTTAAATGCAGTGAAGAGTAAAAATCTGCTGAGTAATTCATTACCAGGAAAAAATTGTTTTGTCATTTTCTAATTCTATAGAGCGGATGGGACTTAAAATATATAATCTTACATGTAATAAAATACAAACCTGTTAATCATGATTTTAGGAAGTCTTTTTAGATTTCATATCAATATAAACCACATAACATCTTCATCCAAGAAAAGGGCCATGTCTGGTTATGAGAAACCTATGTATATCACACTATATTGCAGTTTCAGCAGAAATGTCAACATATGCTTTATCATTGTCTTGTAACATGCCCACCTCCCATGCTAGAGTGAAAAATTAATGTATTATTGTCATGTTCCATCCAATTAGTGCACTGTTTGCAAAATCACAAAATGGATGCTTAATTGAACGCTTTCCATACTCATTTCAAATTTCCCGCTCCCTGCCCGGAAATGATCACAAGGCAGAATCTTTACATAGCACATGGCTAAATGAATTTGCTCAAAGGATGACTTACACCTATGTTATATGTACGTCGCCATTTTTTATGCTATTTATTGTATGAATTAAGCAGAAACATGCTTAATGAATATCTACGAAAAATACAATGAAAAAGTTCTATCGAATTACGGAGAATGAAAGCGCAAGTGTTTACCTGCTCACTGTGCCTCTTATTGTAAGTTATCACCAGATGGCCCCTCAATCTTAACCCATTTCGGTTTAGTCTTGTTTGATTTTGTCAATAAGCATATCACTAGTACTTAATTTTTTATATTTGAACAGTTTTCTTCAGTTTCTTTCCCCATCAGCAATAACTATATATTGAAAGAAAATTACGAGTTTAAAATTTTGTTGTCAATGCAAACAACCGGAAAACAACCAGACAATTTCTGAACATAAAAGTTACTGCTATTTTTAACAAACAGAAATCAAAAGCAAAAAGAGTCCATTATTTTGTTGTCAGTGTAAACAATCTGATTAAAACCAGACGACATCCGAACATAAGATTACTTTGGCAAATAACTAGATATGTACCCTAAAGTTGAATATTCTCACTCGACTTTGCATATCTTTATCGGTTAAATATGCATTTTGCATCAAACAAACAATTAACTCGCCTGTTCATCAACATCTATATGCACTGTCACACTCGTAGAGAGCTAGCGTATGAGGAACGTATGGACTTTTTTGGCATACGCTAAACACGCTAGAGGTATGCTGAAGGTACGTTACTCATATGTCGAGTAGGCTTCTCATACGTTGAGCATACAGCCTACTTATCCCGTGTGTATTACATGCGTATTTCCATTATGGGGGGTGGGGGGTGAAACCTTGGCATCTTGACAGCTTGAAGTCTACTGGCAGAATGACGAAATTCGCAATCTGCCACCTTTTATAGCCCCGCTGTGTACGCTCATCATACGTTAGGCTGACGTTCTGCATACGTTTCTCATATGTCGGAGGTACGCAGATATACGTTACTCGTACGTCGGTATATGTCAAACTCAAATATACATCACATACGCTTTGCGCACTCTACTCATACGCTTGGCTCAAGTTACTCTAACGGTCATTAACCGAAAATCGACCTCAAATGCTGAAAAGTTGTGCATATAAACAATTTTTCGAGATATTCTATACGTTCCTCATACACTGGCTCTATACGCTAGAATGTGACAGCGCCTTATTGTAGGTTTTAATTAGCATACCCATCTATTTTCTCTGAAAACGGTGCAGATGCTAGCGGTGCACTTACGATCAGATCAAATCAATAAGCAGAATATTAAAACTACGGATTCCAATGATTGTGTTGCTCATAACTAATTCATCTGTAAAATTTAAGAAATATCTGTATTTTTCATTTGATTTATAGTTTCGTTCTTTATGAGTGTGTAAAGAGAGACCACTTGCTATTCAAGTTTGACAAAAATGGCGACTTAAGAACTATTAGTCCTAAGGGATCAGGCTATATATCCCAATTTTATTTTTGTCTTCAGCTGTGACCAATAGTCCGAATTCCAAAATGCCAATTTCTAGCAACCATGCAAGGATTAGCACTCAGGCAATGTTTTACATAGTTATGAATCATACATTGTTGGAAAGATAAAACATTTTTCTACTAAGTTGCATACCTGTCATAGTAATTAAATGTTGTAAACCAAGTATTTCCACTCATTTCCCCCTACAACTTTTGCAGCACATTTATAATCGTTGCCGCTATGCCGAATCTCTCTTGAGTTGTGGCTGTAAACCTAATGAAAGATAAATTTTCCTGAGGTTGGTAGTGGTGGTCATTGTGGTATCCTTGTCATACTAGTATTCTTGTTTGTATTTTATGATTCATTTTTGGAGTCAAAAACAGTTACATGTTATAAACCAAGTATTTCCACTCGTTTCTTCCAAGAAATTGAAAATTATTGAACCGATTATAATCGGCAAAATCGCATCAGAAGAATAAACCGATTACAACTGACTATTCAATTACGTCTGCAACCGATGTTCAGTCACTAGGGGATGCACTTATATAGGCAGGTACACTACATGTTATTAGATCAAATACAGTAACTGGGCCAATGTGGCTTTTTTTATGATAATTATGGTATGCATCTGTGTAGATCCACGATTAGGTTTTTATTCAGAATGCAGCTCTGCAAAAAGCGGAAACAATATTGTTTGTGAAACTGGTGAAGTTATTTAAGTTGATGAAGGAATATAATGTAAATGTACTATGTTAGGTACAAATGTTACATCTACGGAGAAAACATGGCAAGTGTCTTCAAATACGGCTTATATTTCTGACCATGTATTCTACTTATTTGGCAACGTTGATTGAAAATTTAACAATCAAAACTTCAGTAGTTCTGTTGTTCAATTTTGCTTACTTGTCGCTGACGTTACGCTGAATTTTGCCGGATAATGTATGCCAAATAATTACAACGCGTAGAAATGTAATTCCAAACTGCAACAGTTATGACAGCGATTTTATGAATATCAAAAAAGAACTCATTTCAACAGTTATTTGTATTAGTAATATAATTTTCAAGTTAATTCAGGAAGTAATTCCGTCGAATTAATGCACATGCTAAAATACAGCCGTTTTCGGAATACAGCAAAAATATATGTGGCAGGAGTATCCCAACAACAGCAGCACCAGTTGCAGGATACGCATGTGTAGATAAAAAGATACTGACTTGGGCCTTACCTATGATCCTATCTATCTGGCACATTAGGTATAGCTAATATAGTTCATGTGTAAGTGTGATAACTTTTAGGTGTCCTCATTCCTTCAGGTTATCTACTCTTGTATCAGTCCAGGGATAAACATAACAACCTGACTCTGAGCCAAAGAAAATGACTTCGAGCTAAAGGAAAGCTTATTGTAAATCAATGAAATAGTAAATTAAATTTTTTTTCTTCCAATAATTACGAGACAAGTTACTTCAACTTTAAACTTATACTAATCACTCTGGTTGACCCAGATGTAATGCTCAAAGGGTATTACTGTGGGAGGAAAGTAGAGTATCTGGTGAATAACCACATGGTTGGACAGGTAACCCCCTACCTTTCATGTTTATTCTGGGAATCAAACATTGGACAGCTGCAAGTGAAATACAACTGCATCACCCAATCAACTATCTCCTGAACAACAACACATATAAATAGGCTTATAAATAGGCTTATTGCCGTGCAGGCATGGGCTTATTGTTGGCTAAAGGCATAATTTATCTATTATATCGTGAAAAAATAACATATAGATGGGCTCATTTCCAGACAGTACTCATAAGTAACATTTTAATACTACCTATCATATTTTAGGTTTGGATACATAGACTTCCATATTTTAATGTGGTGGTTGGGGGAAGAGGTCGGGTGGGGGGGTTGGGGGAAGAGGTCGGGTGGGGGGGTTGGGGGAAGAGGTCGGGTGGGGGTTGGGGGGTTGGGGGGGGGGGTGTACAAACTATACCCACATGTCTTACAGGACATGCACATGTTAAAGAGATTTTTTTGTGTGGGTACATTTGTGTGGTCACATTGGATTTAAAACATAATAGATATAACAAAAACACAATCTCACTGGACTTTTTCTGCCAGCCATATCTGTTTTTACCTGTCTGGTGTACACTAGGCCCTAGGGGTCATTATACAGAACGAGCGCACCATGGCCTACAATGTAGACCGATGTGTGGTCGACTTAAAATATATATTTAGCTTGTGTGTTTCATCCCCTCAAAAATATACATGTTTATTTTGCTGGTTTAAAACATATCAATATGAACAATCGAAAATAAAAGAGCTGTCACGGTCCCAACCTTTCCATGTCTTTGTTATCGATCGTGACTAGGTACAATGGATAACGTTTGTTTATATATACAAAACGCCCCCTAGGTAGCTTGTACATGGATATACATGAATGATACGGCATTTTACCAACAGTGTGAAGAAATATTGGCCATAGTGTATAAATGATATGTAGGTATACACACACATGTTTCATGATCTAACATTTCGGACACAAATAGGTTCGGTTAAGACTGTCTATAGTTGTATATACAAGCAATGACACATTACAGCGTGTACACGAAAGGGGAGGAATTTACCTTCCTCCGATGACTTTGCTCTTCAACGCGTAGAAATTTCCATCTTCAGTGAGTGAGTCGGCCTCAAGTTGACTAGGGAGGTCGAACTCAATCCCAGAATCTTGCATTTCTTGACGATTTTCACGTAAAATTTATGATTTTTATACGCACAATATTCCGTCGATGTTTCTGTTTCCTTCAAAATGGCTCCACGTCTAAATGAACCAATCAGAACCCAGCATTTCTTGAGAGTATTTATAAATAGAAATATCGTCACCACCTGGGGAATTCCCTGGACGTCATAGACCTTGGGTTGCTTTCATTTCGTGACTTACGTGCTACACACCAATGTTTAATAATTAGTTTTAAATAGCATAATTATTTAACTCGAATACAAATTAAAGTTTAAACAGAAACGCATAATATAGATATAGAACATGGATACGTAATTTCGCACAGTTCGTAAATTCGCACACTAGGTGATTCAGTTTTCGTCTTTTTTCCATTCAACTAGCAGTGGATTGTGCTTTTTCGTTTATTTGCCAAGTTAGGCCAGATTTCAGCTGTACTTTTGATGATCTAAGTACAGCACTTCCGAATAACCTCGTTTTGAAAACGAAACATTACCTATATAGCTCTCGCCAATGAAAATGGACACCCGGAAATTAAAACATTTACTAAAAACGATCACAGAGACCAATTAGATCATACATTTCCCAATATTAAGAGATTATATGATATAATTTCCTCAAATTATAATTATAATTGTTTTTCAAATAATTGAATACAACTATTAACAGTTGCCCTGGACCTGTCGTCTGCTCGTTTACATTTATTTTGGTAGGTGGCAGTCATTATTAAAGAATACGGGTCAGTATGCCTTTTTATCCTTATGTTTTCAACAGCATAGATATCATTCAATTACATAAAATAAGATTGATATACATTTTGAATGAATTTTATTTTCCATCAATGGAATGAAAGTACAACGGCGGGAAAATGAACATTTTTTTTTCGTTTTTTAAAATCGGTAGAATAAATTGACTTTTTAACTTTTTAAATACTTTTTTGGGGATCCATGTTTGGGATGTTTTTGTTTTGTTTTTGTTTTTTATACAAAATAAAAATTGTGTTTAGTAACAATGATAAGGGGGCCAGATGGGTGTGCGAAGTTACCTTCACTCTCGTCTTCAAACCAGAAAGTTAATACTGGTTGATAACAACACCTATGCACAGAAAAGATATAATATGCGTTCGCATACCATGTTATGTACTTGTATAATATGGTGTTGTTGTACGTCATACCATGTAATCGTTTCAAAACAGATATGAAAGAAACATTACTAAATACGTACCAAAAAGTGTGCGAAAGCACGTGCCCTCACTCTATGTCAATCAATGTAATTTGACACGATAATACAGACTGTCCTTATACATTTACATGTATAAAAACTACAAAGTTTACTACAGGGTTATGAGGATGTAGAGTCAGGAAATATAGAGACGTTCAAATAAATCAGAAATAGAGAGAATGTACTTAAAATCAGTTCTTTCACTCAAAACGTAACCGATTCATTTAAATTTCATTTATGAAGAATATTGATCGGATTATACCTAAAGGGAAAGAAATAAGCCATTTCTGTTTGAAAGGGAATGGAAAACAAGATGTTCTAATTGCAGTTTAATGAGTTCTGAACTACTAATACATAGCACAGTAGCGTATTATGATTATCAAAAAATACTTGAATAATAATTAGCGATTATTCCAAACTACTGAATCATACAATCATTACACGATGCAATATTATTGCGTGCATAGAATTAAAACACCCTGCTCTCTGCGGGTTTCAAAATAGCACCGACCCTTCAGTCCCTAACCGGACACTATATACCGCTCGACTAAAGGGAAATTCCCGCTAGTAAAAGCTAGTAAGGCAACCGGTTCTCTCAACTTTGAAGTTTAAATTTATAAACTTTGAATTGCTACATAAATGTAAATGTGTGTGTGTTTAAACATTGTATGAGATATAAATATGTTCATTGCGCATAATTGGAGGAAATAAAAGAAAAAGTAATGATAATAATAGTCAATGAATGGTTACGATTCATTTTAAAAGAAATGCTGCATCAAACGCACGGAAAGTGTTTATCTTGGATAAGGTCTCGTAAGCCTGATTAATTGTTTTTTTAAGTCTATAAATATGTAGTAATCACCTAGCCAAAGAACTATATAAGACGCCTGCTAAATAGTAAACTGATCGTCTAGAATGCACACACAACAAAAGAAAAAACAAAAATAAACAAACAAACACACATATATATAAATCGGAAAGTCGTATGGTCATGAAATTTGCCTTTAAAGATATATGGCGAAAAGGGCATTGTCCTCTCGTCACACATTATATAATAGGTACCTGTTGAAAGACCGGAAAGTCGCAATATGAGACGGAAAGCCTGTTAAAATGCTGGTCAGGGTATATGTAATGTTACAAGATTAAGTGTGACACATAACACAATGCATTATGCAATGAAATTAGCAACACCAGTTAATTCTAACCCAAGGTCAAATATTTTCCTTACAAGGTTAAAATCTCACAAGCTGTCCGAGGGTTGAGTTCACACGACCTTTCTGTTTTTCAGCGTAAGCGTTATATTCAATTAATGCAATACTTCAGCGTGGTAACCGTTGATGTAATTCAAGTAACTATACTTCACGTCTACACAGCACAATAGCAATGAAGGGATTCCGAATGTCATACGAACATTTTACTCTCTATCGGTAAAGTAAACATTCGGAATCTGTGACTGAGGTTCTATGCTGATGAATTACAAGTTAGGCGTGATCGATTCAGTGAAAGACGCTTACCCTTGTGTCGTAATCTCCATATACCTTTAGTAGTAGTCGTGTAAATCTTTCATTCGTTTTATTTCATTTCATGTCAACCAAATTTATCGAGTATCTTACAGAACTGAACAACAGGCTAGACTATCAGCCCTGTCTGTTTGATCGCCCTCGTTTTATCGATGTGTTTGAATACAAATTGAGAGTTAGATACAATAGAACCAAACAATGAATTGAGCTGCATCATACAGCTGTTTCGTCCTTCTAAGACTCGTCAGTAACGCTACATCATACAACTGTTTCGTCCTTCTAAGACTCGTCAGTAACGCTACATCATACAGCTGTTTCGTCCTTCTAAGACTCGTCAGTCATGACAAGGGTTTCAATTTCGAAGCCTAGAAGGCTGCTGATGAAAATTCAAAGTGACCGAAAGCAAAATTAAAATCTAGACGGGGAGGTGCACTAATCCCATGATTAAAGATAGTTCGTAATTTTCATTTATCAGATAATTTTCGAACAGAGTCCAGAATATGCATATACTCTGAACCTAATTACAATTTTCTTTACTCGGTATACTGTCATTGCTTCACCACAAATCAAGACATCATTTTCTTCTCCTTTTAAAATTCAATATCTAGTAGAGGGATCTGTTTCTATCAGAATAATCGGCAATGATTTCCTATAGCCTCGGTACAGTTCAGATCCTTTAAAAGCAATATGTGACTGGATATCTGTGCCTAGTGAGTCTAGATCTTGACCTAGAAGCCGTTTTGTTCCTAATTTGACATTAACAGACGTCCTTGGCCCTTTGGATTATAGAAAAAAAAAGTTTGCAATGAGCCATTATCCACATTCTCGATAATCCATGGATTACACTCACATTCGTTCTCTGCACCCCTGGAACATGTCGCTGCAAGATTGAAGACACAATCGGAGTAATTTGATTGGTTCAAGGAGAAAAAAAGCTGACCAATCACAGACTGATACGCTCCTTTTGAAGATCGCAAATAAGCGACACCAGACTTCAAAGTCTTTACAATATCACCGTTATGCGAATTCGCAATTCGTATCATGTATATCAAAAGATCAAACTAGTTTTTCGTCTTGTTTACACAGTGTCGCACATGGGATCTTCAATTTTGTCATGACATGTTCCACGGGTGCAGAGAGCGAAGTTGATTGTAACCCCTGGATTGTCGAGGATGGTTCCAGGGGTGCAGAGAGCGAAAGTGATTGTAACCCCTTGAGTATCGAGGATGTATTATCCGTAACTGAATTTATTTCTAAAGAAAATGTCATTCATTTATCTGTAAAATTTCTTAAAATTGGTAAGCCTGCCGAATGTGTGAATATTGTCGTTCCGAGGTTCGCGTGCATGGTTTGATTTAAACATACTTTATTGTAACAAATACATTAAGATTAGACACAAGTTTCCAACTTACATTAAGCCCTTTCTCCATAAAGTACATGTTGATAAAGACTATGGATAAGTAATATATCACCATAATGTTTTCATATGGAAATATCCAACTAGGGTTATCCTTTGTTCGATTTGAGCGACGAAACGTTCGAAATTATGTATAAATCCTCTTTATTTTAAAACAACTGCGGAAAAGGTTATTTCAACATATACTAATCACTCTTGTTGGCCCGGATGTAAGCGCGCGGGGGTCTTATTTTGGGAGGACGCACGTGGTCTGGCATGTAACCCTTTACTTTTCCACGTCCGTTCCAGGAATCGAACCCTGGGCGGCTAGGCGAAAGGTGAATGCGTTACCGCAGCGGCAATCGACAACCGAAATTCAAGAGTACACAGTGAACCGTTTGCTGCTATTTTTTCCGTCAGTTGTCGACATCAGTCACATACGTTGTTACAGTGGGGAAAGTCATAAAACATCGAATGCTTGGCATGTAAACACAAGATTTTTGTCGTTATCTCAAAAAATGTTTCCCCACAATATAGAGATATTGAAATTGACGCTTGTCATACAGCTTATCAGTGCCCATTGGACGGATTTACATACATTCAATTCTTTGTCGAGAATCAGAACGAAACGAAAATTGTGCAAAATACACACAACACACAACTTAACAGAACTTTCCAAAATAAATAGATGAATAAAATGAAGAAAAAATATAGAATTAGATACAGTTGAGTCGAAATAATGCATTATACAGCTGTTTCGTCTGGACCAGTCAGTGATGAACAGGATTTCACTTGTTGAAGCAAATGAGGCGACTAAGAAAATCCAAAGAAAAACCGTGCCACTATACGAATGTTATGCCAGTCGCCT